TGGAACACTACATCAAAAACTAATGATGTAATGTATGGTGATTAACAACGTAATAATAAAAAAATAAAATAAAAGGTAAAAGGGTTAAAAAAAGATATGCCATGCAACAAAAGGTAATGTTGATATAAGACAATAAATACTTTTGTAAAACAAAAAGCACTGTTAATAATGGAGAGGGACATTTCATAAAGAATTTGTAACAGTAAAAATTCTAAATTTGCATGCACCTAATGACAAACCCTATCTTTAAAGCAAAGCCTCACAGAAATAAAAGGGGAAAAGACAAATTCACAATCGTAATAGGAGATTCTAAACACATTTCTATCAGAAAATGAGAGAAAAGGCAGACCAAATCAGAGAGAATAGAAAATTTAGATAATACAATTAACAAATTTCACCTAAATGAAATTTGATGCATAAATTCTAAAATGACATTTAATCAAATATATATATGCATATATATGTATTTTGTGTACATATATAAAGCAGAAAACTATGACCCACAGTCAGTAATAATGTTATGTCGAGCTATACTGGAGCCTGAGGCCAAAAGAAAAATCAGAAATACTGATTGTGTTTATATTTAAAACTTTGATATTTTGTTCATCATGGATTTTTGCATTAGTTTTGACTTTTAAAAACACTAATTAAAGTAGCATTAAATTGATTACCAAGTTTTTTGACATCCCTTTAAATTCTGCAATCAAGGCGAGTATCTCATTCTCCCCACCGAAGTCCTGGACCGGAAGCCAATAAAGGAGATAAAATGGAATTATAAAAGTACTCAATGAATGTTTTTAAAGGCATAAAAAGAGGGGGGAAAAAAGGAACAAAGATGGGACAAATGCAAAACAAATAGCAAGATAATGACTGATAGACTTTAAACCATAGTAATAATCACATTACACGTGAGTCGTTCTTCACACACAATCACAATTCCATCTGGCAGAGACTGTCAGTCTGAATAAAAAAATCAGACCCAACTATATGCTGCCTACAAAAAAATGTGTTTTACATTGGAAGACACAAGTAGGTTAAGAGTAAAGGAGGGAAGATTACATGTGCAGAAGAGGTAAAATGTCTTCTCTACCCTCTCAGGGTTTCCGGCTGAGGCTGCTGTAAAGCAGAGTCGCAGGAGAAAAGCGCAGAGATTTTTATTTAATAATTTTTAACATGTCCAGGGGAGCTCCCCCAAGAACGAAGATCCGAAGAACTGGCCAGGCCTAAGTGCTTATATACTAGGTTGAAGAAAGAGTGGCAAATGTGGAAAAGTAACTAAACCGTACGCAGAGACTACAGAAAGGAGTTATTTTAACCCAGTCTATTTGTACAGATTTCTCTCTGCCTAGACTCCCTTTCTCTGATGAGAAGAAAGTTCCTTTCCTCCTGGAAAGGGGAGGGCATCTTTCCCATGGGAGTTTCATCTCCTGCTTGCAGAAAGAAAAGGGAAGGTCAGCATGCCCTTCTTGCACCTGCTGTGTTTCAAGTGCCTTTAGCTCACAATAATCAAGATACCAAAGTGGCATATTTTGGGGTTGCATGTCCTGACCTCTTCCACATGCCATGTGAACTAATCAAAATAAAGCTGTAGTGGTTACATTGTTCTCAAACAAAGTAGATTTAGTGCAATGAATAGGGTCAAAGATTAAAAGGTAATTTTATAATGATATAGGTGCTAATTCATTAAGAGAACGTTAACAATCATAATGTATATGCATCAAATACCAGAGCTTCAAAAGATATGAAGCAAAACCTGGCAGAACCATGAGGAGAACTAGACAAAATCAAAATTATAGTTAGAGAATTCAATATCACTATCTCAATATTTGATAGAATAAGTACACAGAAAATCATTAAGGAGAGAGAAGACTTAAATGTAGCTATCAACCAACTTGGCTTAATTGACATTTGTAGATCACTCAACCCAACAAAAAATATACATATATTATTTTCAAGTACACCTGGAACTTTCACCAAGATTGATCGTATCCTAGGCCATCAATAAATTTAAAAGGACTCAAGTCATACAAAGCATATTCTCTGGCCAAATGGAATTGAAATAGACACCAATTACAGAAAGATATCTGGAAAACCATCAAATAGCTGGAAACTAATACCACACTTCCAAATAATCCACGGGCCAAAAAAGTAATCAAAGGAAAAATTAGAAAGCATTTTGAACTCACTGAAAATGAAAATACAACATATCAAAAGTTGTGGATGCTGATAAAACAGTACCTTGGGGGAAATTTATAGCAGCAAACTCCCTTGTTTGAGACAAAAGGTCTCAAATCAATGGGTCAGTTTCTACCCTAGGAAACTAAAAAAAAGAACAAATTAAATCCAAAGTAAACAGAAGAAAGGAAATAGTAAATAGTGTAGAAATTGGTGAAATAAAAAACAGAAAAACCAATGAAAATTGTTGAAACCAAAAGCTGTTTGAGAAAATTAATAAAATCCTTATGTGACCTGAATCCTTCTAAATTTACTGAACAGAATGGAAAAATCCAGAAATAGATCCACATATTTATAGTCAATTTGTTTGAGACAAATGTGTCAAAGTAATTCAATGAAGAAAGGATATTTTTTCAACAAATGGTGCTAGAAAAATTGGATATCTATACACCAAAAAATGAACCTGAACATTTCTCTCACACTTTCTACAAAAATCAACTTGAAATGGATCACAGACTTAAGTGCAAAACAAACTATGAAACTGCTGGAAGAAAACAGGAGGAAATCTTTGTGACCTTGGTTTAGGCAAAGATGTTTTGGGCAGTGGCACAAAAAGCACAGAAACTTCTGTTCTTCAAAAGTCATTGTAAAGAAAATGAAAAGACAAAGCCACAGGCTGGCAAAAAAAAAAAAAAAAAAGGAAAAAAGATATCTGATAAAGAATTTGTGTCCAAATATATAAAGAAATCATATAAGTAATAACAAGAAAAAACAATCCGATTTTAAAATGGGAAAGTGATTTGAACACTATACACATGGCATATAAACACATGAAAAGAAGTTCAACGTCATTAGTCATTAGGAAAATGGAAATTCAAACCCCAGTGGGTGGGATACTACAATATACCTAGTAAAATGGCTAAAATTATAAAAGGACAATGTCAAGTGTTAAGGAGGCTACAGAGCAGTGAAAACTCTCAGTGCTGCCAGGGGTGTATAAAATAGTGCAGGCACTTTACCATACAGCCCATACCATACGGTTACTTATCATACAGCCCCGCCGTCCTATGCCTAATTATTTACCCAAGTAAAATAAAAACTTCCGTTGACACAAAAGCATTACAAATGGGTATATTGGATTAAATCAAAATTGAAAACATTTGTGCCAGAAGTGATACCATTTAGAAAGCAAAAATAAACAAACAAACCAAGAAACCCCACATAATAGGAAAAAAATTTGCAAACCATAGATCTACTAAGGGACTTGTATCCAGTATAAAGAATTTACCATTTGATAATAGAAAGACAATTTTAAAATGGGCAAAGGAATTGAATGGCCATTTCTTGAAAGAAGATATACAAATGGCCAAAATGCACATGAACAGATGCTGAACACCATTAGTCATCAGGAAAACACAAATGGAAATCAGGAGATACCACTTCACACCCACTAGGATGGCTAAATAAAAACAGACGATAACAAGTGTTGACGCAGATGTGGAGATTTGGGACCCTCCTACATTGCTGGTGGGAACTGGAAACTACTAGCAGTCAGAGAGAAGAAGGGCAGCATATCCATTTGATGGAATTTATTCAACCACTGAAATTCATGCTTATGAACAGTCTGACATAGGAGAGAAACAAGGGGAGTGAAAAATAGCAGGATGAAGAGCGCACAGCCAGACCAAGCTCAACTGTGGGCTGCAGAGAGCAATGCCCGCAGCGGGTATGTGCAGCACTTGGGGAGTTAGAAGGTGCGGACCCTAAGGTGAGCGGGGAGGAGGGAGGGAACAGTTTGGGGGGGGGTAGTGATGCTCGCTTTGTCTGCAGGTGGTGGGGCCATTAATTCCTGGTCCCTGCCTTTCCCCAGGGGGTGTGCAATCTGCTGGGCTCCACCAGTCCCCACAACTCATCCTCCGCTGAGCTGCTCCCAAAGCCCCCAGGGAGCATCAAGGCACTGAGGGGTGACCTGGGAGGGGATTTACTCCCTTCCATGATCTTCATCAGCAACCCCGCACTTCAGCCACTCCAAATACACAATTTAAGAAAATCTTGAAAACACGGGTTCTAAACAAAGCCCCTCATGTGCACCCCGCCTCCCAAATGGACTGAGAACCTTTATAACGAAATTCCAGCGTTAGCACAGTGGGGCCAAGCGGGCCCTTGTGCGGGCTGTCTTCTCCCCAGGCCACGGAAAACAGTCACGGAGGGCAGCTCTCGTTCGGGAACTGCGGTTCAGCAGGTAAAGCCAGAGGGTGGGAAAGAGCCGCGCGGGGGAAGCCAGGAGACCTGGGCTCTGATCCTAACTCGGGCCCTCTGCAAATTATTTCTTCTTTCTGGGCCTTGCTTTCCCCTGTGTGAAGCGGGGCGAAAAGGGACATGTCCCTAGTGTCTCGGTGGGGAATCACTAGAGCTACAGCCCCGGAGGGGCAAGCCCAGCGGCAGACGCAGCAGGTGCCCCTGACGGCTGCGGGCAGCACCCCCCAACTCCGCAGACCTCCGCGCGCTCCTCGACGACAGGAGGAATGCGGCCGCGGAACGGGAAGAGCGCCGGCTCGCCGGGCCGGGGAGGCCGAGCGGAGCGAAGGGCCCCGCGGGCAGAGGCGACGCCGGGCGGGGGACGGGCTCGAACCCTCGGAGCCCGCACCGCCTTCCAGCCCCTCCTGCGGGCGGGGCGGTGACGCGAGAGGTCACGTGGTCGCACCCGGAAGCGCGCCCGCGAGGCCCGGGCTGCTGGGCGGTGTAGGGCGGCGAGCCGGTACGTGGGCCTCGCCTTCCGTCCGAGCGCCGTCCCGCGCGGCCCCTCCGTGGGTGGCGGGGCTTCCTGGCTCCCCCACCCCCGCGCGGCCCTCCCGGAAGTGGGGGCGGGCCCCACCTCCGCCGCACAGACCCCGCCCGTCTGGCCCGGGGCCTGCCGCCTCACCTCTCGGAGCCTAAGTTTCTGCAGCCACGGAATGGGGCGGGCGCCCCCAGCCGGGCCTTCTTCCCAGGGTAGCTGTGAGCTTCGCGGGGGCTTGGGGGTGCTGCATAAACTGTGGAGTGCGGGGCACACAGGAGGGCGCCATGGGGCGGGCGCCCCGCGGATTCTCTCTCCCGGGTCGTCCAGCCGAGCAGGGGCAAGGCCGGGGCCCGGACGGAGCCGAGCGCCCCGAAACAGCTGCTGGGAGGCCGGCGCGGCGGCCTGAGGGCGTTCGCTGGGGCAGGTGGTGAAAATGGGGCCGGGGGTTTTCCCCAGGTTGGCCCCGCGCCATCTGGAGCTCCAGTGAGGCCTGTGGGACCTCTTGAGAGCAGGATAGAGAGAACAGGGAAATCACAAAATGACACCACCGGCAAGGTTCGCTTTCCAACAACAGTAGACCCTAATGTCCACTGCAAAGCATTTCCACTTTTCCGGGAATAGGTCATTAAGGCCGGTCATGCCGGTCATGTAGCTAGTCTCAGTTACGCTGCAAAAGATGCTGAGCCCCTCACTATCCTTTCTTGCCTCTTATTTGCTTACAACGTTTGGTTTCCGAGTTAGGTTACAGCTTTATGTTACTCCTGCCTTTTATCATCAAAATGTGAATGATTCTGGAGCCAGTATAGTTCACCCTGTTATTTGACAAAGGGAAGCTGGGAAATAACAAGGGAAAGTAAGCCCACTTCTGTGTAAGAAAGCAGAGTTTGCTAAGTGCTTCCCGCCTGGTTATTCTGTTTTTCCCTTTAACCCTGTAGGGAGGTAGAGCAGGGGTTTGAGACAGAGAGTTGCCTTGGCCAAGTCGAAACTAGAACCAGGTCTCTGGTGCCTTTTTTGGTTTCCTTCATCGTCCCAGGATGTCCCCTCCCTTCTGGGCCTGCTTCCCTGTGGGTCTGGGGTGTGCTGTGCTGTCTCCCCAGTCACTCCTAGCAAGCCCGTTGGGGCTGCTCAGGGCGGGTTTGCTGACCACACCAGGGCTCTGAGTGACCCACGGTAAAATGAGAGTGCCCGGAAGGAAACAGGAGGTGGGAATTAATGTTTGTGGGCCCCTGCTATGTGGAAAGGACTGTGCTGGCGGGTTCGTGTTGTGGGGAGTGCGGGGGTAGGGGTACAGGGCACCCGCGCCTCCTGGCTGTGGGGTGTATGTTCTGAGTAGACGGCCTAAGGGCCGGAGGGAGACGTGTGACTGCTGAGTCCTTCGTCAGCTGGTACTCCCAGAAATGGACAGCAGTCAGATGAGAGGCTCTGCTTGCCCTCATGACCTCTCTGTGTTAAGCATTTGCAGGACCCGAGATGCCGTGCTGCTCTCCGTGAGCTGGTCATCGAGTGTGCCTCCTGCAGCCTTGTGAACCTCCGGCTGTGTGCGGGCTCCGCGGTGCTCCTTGCCAAGGTGGATGATCCTGCCTGCCCTGGGGGCGGAGCGGAGGCAGACGGCACCCACTCTGGGGCTGCTCTGGGGCAACGGGCGGCACACACCAGGGCAGGCAGCGGACTGAGCCTTCCCTGTCCCCCCCACCCCCTGCCTCAGCTCTGCCTGCTCATGTCACCTTTGCCTGTTTGCTCCTTCCTCCCCTGCCTCCGGGCCGTCATCAAGGCCTACCACCCTAAGCTACACCTCTTGCATCGGCCCCTTCCTCTCCTGGCCTCCGCCCAAGGAGTGGGTCCCCATTACCTCACACCAGATCCTTAACCTCACCCACCTGCGCCCAGCACGTCACTCCCCACAGCCTTCCCACCCTACAGAGGGCTGTCCGCTGCTGACCACCCTCCATGCTGTAGCCCACCATTGCCCCGCACACACGCTCCCTTCCCATCAGGCCTGCCCCTCGAGCCCCTGTCTTTGTCACACTCACCTGGGAGTCCCAGAGCCGCCTCTTCCACATCACCTGCCCTCAGCCAGCAGCCTTTGCTTCACACTCGTTTGCTCTCCCCATCTCTGCCTGGTGTTGAGCAATTCCATGGGAATAGGCTGCATTCTTTGTTCACTGTCGAGGAACCACCTTGAGGCCAGGTGCTCAGAGTTAGAGTTGATAAACTCCCCCCCGCCCCCGCCGGAGACTGGGGAGGAATTCAGTAAGTGGGGCCACCAAGCTGGGCCCCTAGGGGATCCCAAAGAGTGTCACTGAGTCCGAGGCCTTAAGATGCTGTGATCCTGTTTGAAACTGGACATCTCCTCAGGGGGCAGTCAGAGCAGAGTTTTCTGGTCATTATCATGTCTCGGCACACGTACAACGCGATCTTGTCCGTGTGGTGCACTGAGGTACAAGAGATGTGAAGCCCCTGCCTGGGGTTTTCTCATCTGCAAGCAGCTGACCTGAGAATTTGGACCTCACCTGGCTTGGTCAGGCTGCCCCTGGGTTGAGAGGATCAATGTCTTGCTGCCCCCCCCCCACCCCCCGGGGAATGAAAGGCACAGTGTGGGACGCTCTGGGCTAAGACTCTCCCCACTGATGAATAATGAGACACATTTTGTATAATCAGGCATTAAAATATGTGGCACAGAAGGTGCATGTGTGGGTGGTGGGGAAGGCAGTTTGGGAGGGCCAAAGATCCAGGGGGATGTGGCTGAGGAAGCCAAAAAAGTGTGAGCGTGAACTGTGGACAAGGTTAGGCAGCCTCTGTTTCCACCCAGAGCAGAAGGAATTCGTGAATGACGTTATGTCATGCTGAACCCACTCCTAAGGGCTTTGAAGCTTGTCTTCTGGAGCTGTTTTTGCCTTGAGGAGAAACACGTTTCTCAACTGCCTGGAGAGAGGTGCATTAGCCTCCCTCCACCTAGACCAGGCACTGAGGGCCATGAGCCACCATCCTGCCTGCCCCTCTTGGGCAGTTGATCCTCTGTCCAGATCAGGAGTGGGGTCCTTCCGTATGCTCGGTGTAGGTGGGCCCATGATGAGTCTGACGATCTGGCAAGAGGTGCTGGAAAACACAGAGGCAAGAGCCCCAGCCTTAGGCCTGGGTTTAGATCCCAGGAGCTCCAAGCTGTGCTAAGTCCTGCTCTAGAAAGTGGGAGTAACTAAAGATCCCTACCTCCTCAGCTGGTTGTGAGGGTGTGACGAAATAATAGCAGGAAGGCCCTTGTCCTGGAGCCCGGTGCCCTGTGAGGGCTCAGTAGGTGTTTGCTGGGGTTATGATCCTCTTCGTTACTCGGGCTGAGCTTCCGGATAAAGAGGCTGGGAGGTGACCTTGACCTTGCTTCTCCCTGGCAGATGAAGTGCGTCTTAGTGGCCACAGAAGGTGCAGAGGTCCTCTTCTACTGGGCAGACGAGGAGTTTGCCGAGAGTCTGCGGCTGAAGTTCGGGTTTGAGGGAGAAGAGGTGAGTGCAGGGCAGGAGGGGTTTGGGAGGGAACAACAGCACAGGGAGAACCTGCCCACCCGCTCCTGGCCCAGCCTGAGGAACTAACAGGGTGGTGCGTGCGGTCCAGAGCCCTGCGCACCCAGCTGCTCATCCTCAGAAGTTGGCCTCTTGATGCTCTCGAGTTAGTGAGCTCACCCCTACTCCACCAGGGCTCATCAGGCTAAATGAGAGCAGGAGGAGGAGGTAGAGTTTAAATCCCACAACAGAGAAATTTGGTGTCCTCGTTTTCTCTCCCTAAAAAGTTTAGCATAAGCTTAACACATCAATTTTTTAAACGGCTACATTAAGGTATAATGGACATACTGTACACTGAACATTCTCAAAGGGTACGATTTGAGATATGCGTGTGCACACGCGCACACACACACACCTGTGATTCTGTCACAATCAATAAAATACATTTGTCATCCCGAAAGTTTATGACCCCTCCCCCACCTTCCCCAACCTGGGCAATCACCAGTCTGCTTTCTGTCACAATAGAGGACTTTGTATTTTTTAGGCTTTTAGGTAAATGAAGTCATACAGTATACACTCAAAGTGGTTTTGGTCTGGCTTCTATCTCAGCGTAATTTTGAGATTTATCCATGTTGCAGCAGGTAGGAGTAGTGTGTTCCTTGTCCCTGCTGGGCGGGAGGTCGTCTGTGGTATCGGCGTGTCATGGTTGGTGTGTCCGTGCACCTGTTGATGGGAACTGTGGCCCATTTTTCACTCTTCCCAATAAAGCAGATATGAACATTCATGTGCAGGTCTTTGTATGAACGTCGCCTTTCACTTTTCTTGGGTCAATAGCTGGGCTAGAAGGGCTAGATTGTGGAGGTATATGCTAAACTTTGTAAGCAACTGCCAGACTGGGCCAGAGGGGTTGTAGCGTATCCAGCCCACTACACATGTAGGAGACTTTCCCTTCCATACCCTCGCTAACACTTGCTGTGGTCTTTTTAATTTTAGCCATTCTAATAGGTGTCTCTCGGAATCTCATTGTCTTATAATTTTCATGTCCTATTGGCTGATGATTTTGACATCATTTCATGTGCTTATTTGCCCTCTGTGTCTTTTTTCATTGAAGTTGGTTCACATTTTGCCCATCTTTTTGTTGGGTAGGTGATTTCTTAGGATTCTTACTGAGTTTTGAGAGAGTTACGTAGTTTGGATGCAAGTCCTTTATTCGGTAAGTGTTTTGCAAATATTTTCTTCCAGTCTGTGTGTTGTCTTCCCATCCATTAACCAGTATTTTGTAAAGAGCAGAAGTTTTTCATTTTGATAACTCCAGTGTATCCATTTTTTGCTTTTAGGGAATCACGCTTTTGGTGTCATATCTAAGAAATCTTTGTCCAACCCTAGATCACAGAGTTTTCCCTCTATCTTCTTCCGGACGTTTCATAGTTTCTGCTTTTATATTAGGTCTAATGATCCCCTTTGAATTTTTGTATATGATGTAAAGTATGGATGAAGGTTTATCTTTTGCGTATGGACATCCAGAGTGACCCTGAAATACTACAGCTCGGAGATAGTTGTCATTTTCACTCATAATTTCTACTCTGTGTTTGAAAGGAGTGATTTATTTTGAAAATTTTCTCCAGATGAATTTTGGATTCAACATTTCCGCAGGGAAAGCAGTAGAGAGAGTTCCGGCATTTCTGCCACAGCCCTGACGGGTGGCCTGCCAGCCCCTTCTCGCTCTACTGGTCGTGATCACCAGCTGAGCCAGTTCTGCATGAGCAGCTTAATCCACCCAACATCACCAGTATTCTTGTCACAGTCTTTAGGAATAAAGATATCAGCAGAAATCATGACATTCTAGTGGTTTTCGTTAAGCTAAAAAATAAGTCTATCTATGAGGCTTTTTTATTTTTAGCAGTCAATACATATAGTTCTTTTTTTCTTTTTTAAAGATGATTTATTTTAGAGAGAGAGTGCAAGCGGGGAGAGGGGCAGAAGGAGAGCGAGAGGGAGAGAATCTCAGGCAGCCTCCCTGCTGAGCGCAGAGCCCAACACGGGACTCAGTCTCGGGACCCCAAGATCATGACCTGAGCTGAAAACGAGTCGAATGCTTAACTGACTGAGCCACCCAGGCACCCCAATACATAAAGTTTTAATATTTTTGTTCTTAAACTTCTATTTCAATCAGGTCAGTTGAAGAAGCCAACAATCAGTAGACCTCTGTATCCCCAGAACCTGCCATAATATTGACAGAAAGACACTCAGTATATTGGTGAATGAATGAATAAAACAAGCAAAAGAAGCAAGTTATCTATTGGTGTTTATCTTCTTTATTGAAAGCCTTATAAAGGAACAAAATCCTGATTTTTCAGTTCCTAAGTGACGAAAGAAAAAATGTCTTTAAAGTTTTATTTTTATGTACACAACACTTATTTTTTTCCCCGATTCTATAAACATGAATTAATTGTAGGAAATTGGGAAATATAGAGAAATCGTTTTTAAATGACCCATAATTCTAGTACCAGAGCCATTAGCTCTTCTATATATTTCCTTTGGGTCTTTATCTTTTATATGTAGTTGGGATCATACCACATTTACAGTTCTATTTTCTGTTTTTCCACTTGCCATTATATCAAAAGCATTATTCTTTTTTGTTAAATATTCTCAAAAGCATAAATCTTAATGGAAGCATTATATTCCAGTGTATAAATAAATGTACCACTTATCTGACCATTTTTCCCATACTGGACATGTATATTGTTTCTAGTTTGCTAAAATTATTGCTGTAGGGAACATTTATGCTTGAATTTGATCCCACATCTCATTATTTCCTTAGGATAATTTCCTATAAATAGAAACATTGATTCAAAAGCCATTCAAAGATAATGTACCACTTTATAATTCCAAGTAATAGTAATTCCTTTACACTCTGCCTATGCCAAATATTTTCATCTTCCCAACCAAAAAAAAAACTCGCTACACCTGCAGAAAAAGCCACTACTTAAAAAACGAGTTGCTGTACACAATCTAGATTTTTAAGTGACTTTCTGTTAACATAATCTGTTTGTGACAGTTCAAGAAAATTGTGGCACATGAGCAGTTCAACAAACATTTGCCTCTGTGGAGGGATATTCATTCAATGAATATTAACTGAGAACCTACTATGTGTGAAGCAGTGGGTGAAGCAGTGACCATAACAACATGATCTGCTTTCACGGAACTTAGGGCTGCAGAGGGAGGAGGAAAGACAATGAACGGGGTGGAAATAAACACATGAGTTCAGGGAATGTTAAATGTGCCGAGGAAGTTAAACAGTGTGAGGTAAGGAGTGACGGGGCAGGGTGGCCGAGATGGTCAGGAGAGGGGCCATCTGAGCTGGGCCCAGGGGGTGGGCAGGAACCACTGCTAAAGCTGGACCCACCTCGGCTCCTGAGCGCTGAGGAAGGTGGAAGGAAATCCTCACCACAGCACTGCGTCCCGCTCCTGTTGTAAATGCTGCACGTTGCCCCTGGTTGGTTGCCTATTTTTCTTTTCAAGGCAAGGTCTGACTCGTCTCCTTTCAGATTTCACAAGCTCAAAGTCGGGATTTGGCTTTCTCCATATTGCAGTCAAGTCTTCCAAGATCAGCGTAGGGAAGATCAGCTGTTCTCTTTTCCCCTTCCATTGAAGAGGGTTTGAGTGGTGCCAGCAAATTTGTCCAGTTTCTCTTTGGTTCTGTTTGTTTTGTTCCTGATTTTGGAGGGCGGAGAGAATGGTTGGAGGAAGAGCTCCTAAAAGTGAAGGTGGGCTTGTTATGGAAACGGGGGCACTACAGAAGCATAAAAAGTGCGGGAAGTCTCATACTCTCTCAGCCAGAAGGAATAACTTTAGCAGCATTGCATTGACTTTCTTAATATGTTTTCAATACTTGGTTTTTTCTGTGCGTTTTAAAATACTACTCACAACAATTTTTATTAACATATCATCAGAAGAATCTTCCATGTCATTGAAACATTCCCCTATTTGAGGTGGCTTTGCCTTCTTCCGTCATTTAGCTGAGCTGTTATTAACTGTTTCGCTGGTGCAGAGCATTTCAGGTTTTTACAGTTGCTTGCTGCTGTACGTTATGCTGCAGTGAGCATCTTTGTGCGCATCTCTGCCCTATCCTTGATCATTGTCCTTAGGATACATTCCCCGGAAGTAGACCTAACTGCAACAAAAAGCATGGACTTTAGGACACGTAGAGAACTTCCTTAGAGTCGGTCAGTGCTCCGTTAAATGCCACACACGTTCCACTGTGGAGATGTGGCCTAAGTCCTTAATGTTTCCTTCTGGATTCGGAGGCAGAACGGCACAGGTAGCTGGCCGACCCCTCCCAGCCTTTTCTCACTAGCACCCAGGTGCTGGGGGCAGTCTCCTCTTGCCTCCTTCCTGTCAGGGCGGTGGTACCTTCCAGGCAGGTCTAAAACTACGGACGCCCTTGCTAGCGAGGCCTGGGTTTTGTCCATTCCTTTGTCGCCAGGGTCTGGCACTCCAAGCGCTGTTACTTTCTTCCCCTCTTGCAGCTTCCTCCCGTGGAGGACCAGCTCAGCACCCTCCTGGCCCCAGTCATCATCTCCTCCATGACCATGCTGGAGAAGCTCTCAGATACATACACGTGCTTCTCAACGGAAAATGGCAACTATCTGTACGTCCTTCACCTGGTGAGTGTGTAACCCCTGAGCCCATGTTCCTCTTCCCTCGGTGCCGTGGGCGGTCTGTCCACATGCCTCGCCCTTACCTTGAACTTCAGACTCCTTTAGAAAGCAGAAACCGCCCTATCAAAATCCCCTGGGACCTAGGCCCCCCCTCGATCTCCTCCGGGATCAGGCCAGGTGAGGGGTCCCCTGGGGCTGGCTCACACCAGCCCCCTCCGCCTACAGTTTGGAGAATGCCTGTTCATTGCCATCAATGGAGACCACATGGAGGGCGAGGGTGACCTGCGGCAGAAGCTGTGCGTGCTCAAGTACCTGTTCGAGGTGCACTTCGGGCTGGTCACCATGGATGGCCAGCTCATCCGAAAGGAGTGAGTCCTCGTCTCGGTCCCCTTTGGGTCCTTTGCCAAGCACCCTGTCAGGCCGTGCAGCAGATGGCCGGCCTCTGTGAAGCTGCTCATTCGTACTCCACCCCTGGCTCCTTTCTGGAGACTCTCTAGCTGACCTCGTGTCGTATGTCCGTGTATGAAGGAAACTGAGAGGTGAAGTGTTTGCTCAGGCGCCTACCTCCTGGTTCTGTGCCAGTCCCCCTCCGCGGCCAGGGCGCAGCCTGGACCAGCCCTTCCATGCTCAGAGGGCTCTCCTGCTTGTCGCCTCAAGTCACGCGAGCTCGCCCAGCCCTGACGGTAACTCTGCTCCTTTGGTTGAAAGTGGGGACAGGCAGCTTTCTCAGGGTCTGTGCTGCTCTGCCCCCAGGCTGCGGCCCCCGGACCTTGAGCGGCGCATCCAGGTGTGGGAGCACTTCCAGAGCCTGCTGTGGACGTACGGCCGCCTGCGGGAGCAGGAGCAGTGCTTCGCTGTGGAGGTGACTACTAGGCACGGGAGGCCTCGGGCCACGGGGGTGTCAGGTCAGAGGGCTGAGGAGCTTTAAGGCCAAGTTTTGACACACACACACCACCCCCCACGTCGTGAGTGAGGTCAGAGACCCTCAGACTCTTATCTTTAGAAGGTTGTCTTTGTGGCCTCATGGTGGGTTCGATACTCTGATGGGGCTCCCTACAATAAAACAGTGAGATCCTAGATAAAACAGGCTTTTTAATGCAGTTTGGGGCTCACAGTAAATTATGGAAATTCTGAAGATAGCTCCCTCAATTCTGATCGCCACCCCCCCCCAAATTATATTGAGCTGAAACTAGCATGGACAGTAGTGAAAAAGAAGCAGCACTAAAGTCAGGAAGGCCTGAGTGCAATCAGAGCCTTAATTAGGCCCTCAGCAGCAGGGGGCTGAGCCCGAGATCCCCGCGCCAAGGCCCGGCCTGAGGAGCTCAGGTGGTCGCTGCAGGTACCACTGCTGGTTCCCTGTAGAGACAAACACAGATTTCCTCCCGAGTGGCGGTTCTCACCCTCAGGGTACATCCGAATCATCTGGAGGGCTTGTGAGATAAGGGTTGCCGGGCCTCACTTTTCTCATGGGTGGGGGTGGTCTGGGGATTCTAGAATTTGCATTTCTGACAAGTTCGCTGGCGAAGCTGATTATGTGGGTCCAGGAACTGCACTTTGAAAGCTACTGCTTTAGAGGACAGGTTCGGAGCAAACAAATAGGAGCTCAGAACTGACAGACGCACAAGGACATGAGCCACCACGAGTGAGAGGAAAACCAGTCACCAATAGATTTAGATCCCAAGGAGCTTGATATACTGGAATTATTAGGTCCAGAACTTAAAATAACTCTGAAATATTTAAAGACATAAAAGCTAAACGAGAACCCATATAGGTATTTAAGAAATAAAAACATAATTGTTAAAATAAAAACCTCAAGGATGGTTTAAATAGTAGATGAGACATAAGTAGAAAGAGAGTTAGTGGACTGGAAAATAGATCTAAAGGATTTGTTTTCGCACCCCGCTCCCTCACTCTTCGGATAAATGTGTAGTACCTACTGTATGCTAAGAGGTGTGCCAGGCCCCGGGAACAGAGATGAGTAAGGATACCGTCGCTGCCCTTGAGAGTACATATATGCCCGAAAACACAATAAAGCATCCTGGGTGCTGCCTTATTGGGTTTCCCATCTGAATCCATGGTGGCACGAGGGATGGTGTTACCAGCTCTTTCTGAGACATCGGAAAAGGCTTCTTGTAGGAGATGGTCTAATGCAGTTAACTTAAAATCCACACTCCTTCCAGAACCGACCAGGCCCTGTATGACCTGCCACTGCAGGACTCCGCCCCAGCCTCACCTCATGCCCCTCTGCCCTTACTGCGCCCTGGCCTCCCAGGACTTCTTTGCATTTCAGGAGCACTGGATATTTAATTCTGTGCAGTTCGGTAGTCATTAGCTACATTTGGCTATTGAGCATTTGAAATCTAGTTTGTCCAAATTGAGTTATGCTGTACATGTAGAATATACACTGGATTTTGGTGACTTAGTACAAAAAAAGAGTGTCAAACATCCCATTAATAATGCTTTTATATTGTATGTTGAAATGATAAGATTTTAGGTATATTGGGTAAAATAAATCATTAAAATTAATTTCACCTATTTCTTTTTACTTTTTAAATGTAGTTACTAGCAAATTTTAAATTATGCATAGGGCTTACCTTATAGATCCATCCAACAGCACCGCTGTAAACTCTCTTCCCAGCTCAGGGCCTTTGCATATGCTCTTTTCTTGGCTTGCAGCATTCTCCCCCTCTACTCTCTCTAACAGGATTTCTTGTTCTTTAGATATCAATTTAGAGGTGACTTCCTCAAGGACATTTTCTTCGGACACCCTACCCAAGTCGGTACCAGGTGTTTCCTACACAACACTTAGAGTTGGCATTTCTCTTGTCTCTTTCCTTGCATATTGTCTGTCACACCCACTGGAGTCCAGTGACCAGACCATAAGCCCCAGGAAGGCTGGCCCAAGTCGCCCTGTTCCCAAGTGTCTGGCACGTAGCATGCGTTCAGCATGGACTGAGCGAATATACCCACCAGCCAGGACCTGGAGCAGGGGAGGGTGGTCGGTAACACGGCTTCCTTTCCCTGCCCGCCAGGCTGTGGAGCGGTTGATTCACCCTCAGCTCTGTGAGCTGTGCATAGAGGCCCTGGAGCGGCACGTCATCCAGGCTGTGAACTCCAGCCCCGAGAGGGCCGGCGAGGAGGCCCTGCACGCCTTCCTGCTTGTACACTCCAAGCTGCTGGCCTTCTACTCCAGGTGAGCCCTGGTCCCAGCAGGCAGCGGCCCAGACCCTTGCCTCCCCCCGCCACCCCCGGTCCCTATTCCCTCTACCTGAAAAGCACCACCTCCCCAGCCAAGAAGATCTTCAAGACCCATCTCTTCCCTGAAGCCTCCTTAACTCTTCAGTTCTTGACCCTCTCAGTTCATTCCCTCCTCTGAATTAGGTCTTTCTGGAACACTGTCTCCGAATCTGAATTCTAGAACTTCCCCATAGGCTGTGACTGGTCCCCAGTGGTTTCTCATTGGTGGGTTTTTTTTTTCTTTAATACACCAAGTTTTATTTTAAAAATTAATGAACTGATTAATTTTATTTGTACCTTGCCTTTCTCCAAGAAGAATGAAGCCAGCTGACACGTTCATAAATTCCTTGAGAGCAGGGACCCTGCTCCAAACTCCCTTAACCTGCCTGCTCCTCGCCCGCTGTTACCTGCAGGGGGCGCCAGCGTGCACTGACAGCCGGCTGCTCTCTCTGCAGCCACAGTGCCAGTTCCCTGCGCCCAGCTGACCTCCTCGCCCTCATCCTCCTGGTCCAGGATCGCTACCCCAGCGAGAGCACAGTGGAGGATGACGACCCTCAGGTCTTGGGCCAGCTCCCCGGGCAGTTCCAAAACCCAGCCTGCAGAGTGCTGGGCAGGCCACCTGGGGAGGCTGTGTTTCTGCATCACAGTTCTGGGCAGGCTTTTGGCTTCCTGCTGTGTTCAGACCTAACAGGAATTCTAGAATGCATGTGGTTTAGTCAGTGAGAAGGGCAGATTTTTGGAGTCCCTGCTGCTCTAGGCCTCGGTTCCCTTATCTGTGCAATGGGACAAGGGTTGTTTGGAGGAGTAGAGGGGACAGTTTACCTAGAGGCCAGCGGTGCCTGGGGTGCTCGGTAGGTGCTAGCCACCATCCTCGCCCACACCGTCCCCGTTATTGGCAGCGGCTTGGTTGCCAGTGTGTTGGAATTTCGGGAATTTCAGCGGTTCTGGAGAAAGACTAGGCCACCTAGAGTTGAAACCTGGGTGGAAAGTGAGGACACCCCCCCAGGGCTGCGTGGTGGCGGGGAGCGCAGGGGTGGAGGGCTGTGGGCAGAAGTGCTGGGCTCCCTGGGGAGGCGGGGAGGAGTGAGCAGAGGAGGAGTTCTAACTAGGTCTCCCTTGCTGATGGCAGCCTTCCCCGCAGAAGCCATGGAGCAGCCAGAGCATCCCCGTGCAGCAGGCCTGGGGCCCTGCTTCCACAGCTCGGGCCAGGAGGAGTTCTGCAGCAACCGTGTGTGGAGGGGAGCGGGGCCCAGGGTTGAGCCCTTAGGAGACGCTCTCCCAGCCCTTGGCCCAAGATGCCCTCTTCTTCCTCCCAGGAGACGGACAGCTTCTCCCTCCCTGAGGAGTACTTCACACCAGCTCCTTCCCCTGGGGAGCACAGCTCAGGTGAGGCCTGGGGAGGAGCCAGAGGAGGGGGCTGGAGCACAGGATGCTGCCCGCAGGTCCTCCTCTGCCCCCCCACTCTCACCAGCTCCAGCCTGAATGAAAGCTCGGCTACTCAGATGATTCCTAAAGCTGTGTGACAAGCTGATTTCATTTAAAAAGTCATCTCCCATAGGTGTATTCTCTGCCTTTTTTTTTTAAATCAATTAATCCATAACTAAAGTTAAGTAATAATCATTTGATTTCAAGTATAATGGTTTAAAAGGTACATATTCTATTTCTATACCTTACCTGTTTTTCCAGACGATGTGGGTGGGTAAACAATAAAAAGAAACGAAAAATAATCAAAATGTTGCTAACAAGACAATAGACAACACTGCTGAAAAAAAAGATAAGCCAAAATCCGTACTGTTGTAGTCCCTCTGAATGGGCATCACATTTACCTCTGCAGCTCCTGGGGAGAAGGAAGGATCGTATGGCTCACATCACCTAATAGAGGAAGGCCAGGGGTTCAGAAGAAGACACTTCTCAGGGACTGAGTTTTGAAAGGAATTTACTGTGTGGTGTCCTTAAGCCACTGGTTCTCAACCCTGGCTGCACGTGAGAACCAGCCAGGCCGCTTCAGCCAGACCAGTGAAGCTATAGTCTGTGGGCTGGGACCCAGGTATGAATACTTCTAGAAACTTGCCCTGTGAGGCCAGTGAGCATCAGCGTGGAGCCAGCCCTAGGCGCAGATCTAAGTTAGCGCAGTGGCTCTAAGCCCTGCTGCATGGTGGGCTTACCAAGGGATCTTTAAAAACTCCCGAAGCCGGGCCTGCCTGTGCCAGAGGTTGGGACTTAATGGATCTGAGATGTGACCTGGGCACCAAGATTTTCAAAAGGTCTCACATGCAGCCGCAGTTGAAAACTAGTGGGTTAGATGTTCCTAACTTGAAGTCCGTGGATGGGCTTCGAGGAGCCTGGGACCCCTGAGATCCCACACCAGCTCCTGTAGACTTACACATTCCTCTGGGCCCTAAGCTCTCCGTGAGCCCAGAACACATCAAGAGACACTGCTTTGGGGTGATCACCAAAGCTCCTTTTTCTTCTTACTGCTCCCTTCCCTCATTCATCACAGTCCTCCTCCTGGCCTCTTTCTCAGTGGTTAGTTTTTATGCCTCAGAGCTGTAAATAATGCCATTGCCCAGTGCCTGGAACTCACCGCTTACGAATGGCTTGAGTTGTACTCATTCATTTGTAAATCAGGTGTTCAGAATGTATCTATCAACGGGCTTCCCTAGAGAGACATGATTACAAGTGATGGCTTTTTGCAATGAAATATAAGGGAGAACAATATTATTACAAACATGTAATATTTCAAATATGTAGTGGGTTCAGTAAGTTTCTGTGAGCTCTGCTGGGAAAGGGAAGCCGCTCAATTCCCTGTGCATAGTAGGTGCTCAGTAAAAGTTTGCTGATTGAATAAGTGTGCTGCCTTCTGGGAAAGAGGCACCGTGGTAGACAGGGAGGGACCTGAAGGAGTGAGAGGGTGGAATCAAGGAGGGGATTCAGGGGGCCAAGGAGGGGCATGCCCCCCCCCCGCCACTGCCAGGTACATCCTCAGGAGCCTGCACCCAGCAGCTGGCCTTGCGGGGAGCTTCTCTTGCCCAGGCTGCTCTAGCCTGCGACTGCAGAGCGCACCCTGCACTTCCAGCTTGGGGTCAGATGAGCAGGGCAGTGCTGCTCCAGCCCCTACTAAGTGCCCTCGCCCCTGCCAGGTACTCTGCCCCACCCTCCCCTTCTGACACACTGCTGAGCCGTTGTTCACGTTTTCACGTTATTTATATTATCACCTGTGTCCTGTAGGTAGCACCGTCTGGCTGGATGGGGGCACCCCACCCACGGATGCTCCCCAGGTCCAGGTGAGTTCCTCCTGGGGGAGGGAAGGTCCACCGGGCACCAGCTGATCTGAGATGCTGCAGTGGACACTGGGGACTCTGAGGTGTCTGCTCGCCGTAACTCCGCACAGGGCCGGCCCTCCTGCTGCCACCTCAGGGCTGGTCAGTGCGGGGGACAGAGCTCGTCCCAGAGGCCGGGGCCAGGAGGGTGGGTGGTGGGCGAAGGGTGACCTCAACTCCTGAGGAATCCCACCCTCCTCACTGTTGTTGGGACTGAAAGTCCAACTTAATTTGTGATGACTTTTTAAATTAGAACGTAAGTATATTCATTGTAGAAAAATTAGGAAATACAAAAGTATGAAAAGGAATAAAAATCACTCAGTCACTCTTAATCCTTCCCCCAGATGTTAACTACTATTAAGATTTTGGGGTGTTTCTGTCTTCTCTCTGATTTTACGTTCGTATATGTACGTATACATGTATGTATGTATATTTATACATTACATGTATTTTTTTCTTTTACCAAATTTGAATCCTAATGTCCTTCATTACACTGTTTTCCTTAAGCATTTTTCCATTTACTCCGCACTAGTGTGTAAGGAATAAGAGTCCATCACGTGCCTCCATTACTTATTTAGCAGATCCGCACAACAGCTAGTACGTTGTTGCTAGTTTTTTGGCTGTTCTCACAGTGCAGTGCCATCCTGATAGAGAAGGTCTCGTGGCATCTCTGGTGATTTCCTCAATTCTCTACTTTTTCCCACTAAAGCCCTTCTTACTTATTTAGTAAGGCTAGAGTCTTGCTCATTTAGTCCTTCCACGCCTCAGTTTCCCCCATGGGCCCAGCGGTCCGGATGTTCTCAGGGTGGGTAGAATGACAGCGTTATTGACATGCCTTTGTCTGAGTGAAGGCCCGGGACAGAGCTCCCCCGACCCCCGACCTTTCTGCCCTTTAAGTCTCTTTTCTACCACCCACCCCAGTTCCTGTTCCTCATGGCTTGCCACCCAGTCCTGACTCCAGGTAGAATGGCTCCGAGGAGGCAGGGGAGCTGCTGGGGCCGTGGTAACAGAGCGCAGGAATTGAAGAACTGGATTTCGTGGAGCTAAAGTGTTTACTCCCATGGTTCACAGGGGAGACAGCGAATGGGCAACCATGGGTGGGTGCGTGAGGCAGAGGCCAGGCGGCTCCCCCACCCCAACCCTCCCACGGACAGCTCCTCTTCTCCGCAGATAGCTGAAGACACCCTCCAGACACTGGTGCCTCCCTCCCCAGTCGCTTCCGGCCCCAGAAGGGTTTTCCTAGATGCCAACGTGAAGGAGAGCCACTGCCCCATGGTGCCCCACACCGCCTACTGCCTGCCCCTGTGGCCGGGCATCAACATGGTGCTCCTGACCAAGGTAGGAGCGACCCCCACCTCCCTTAGCAGTGCCCCAGCCTGGACGCCTTCCCGCAGGCTGCCCCTGTTCATCCTGCCCTGCGCTTCTTCCCTTAGGGCCCCAGCACCCCCCTGGCCCTCGTCCTGTACCAGCTGCTGGACGGGTTTTCCCTACTGGAGAAGAAGCTGAAGGAGGGGCAGGAGGCCGGGAGCACCCTGCGGTCCCACCCCTTCATGGGCGACCTGCGGCAGAGGATGGATAAGTTTGTCAAGAATCGCGGGCGGCAAGAGATTCAGGTGAGGCTCAGTTGCCAGATATAGCGGCCTCTGGGAGAAGCAGGGCCGGGGTGGCAAGATCTGTTCTGTCCACACTCGGGGAGTGGCCCCACCGCGGGCCCGTGATCCTTGTTTCCCGCATCACGAAGTGATAACAGAAACTTAGCAGTATGTTCAGAGCATTTTGACGTGAGTTTGGCAGAACATGAATTCGAATTCCCGTGTTTTATGTGAGGAAACCGGGGCTCAGATTACTGGGCAGGCGAGTGGCAGGAGCAGAGCCTGACTCTACGCCACCGTGAAGGCCAGCAGCCTGCGCCCGGCACCCCTCACAGCCCAGGTCGGAGATGAGGCTGGAGGGGCCTAGACGGTAGAAATGCACAGTCTCCTCCGGGGGCCTCCAAGTTCAGGAGGGGTAGGTCACCCAGGGGAAGCAGCTGGTGGCGCTTGGGTCGTCTGAGGACCCGAGGTTCACTGTGGCCGCCACACACGTGTATCTGAAAATGAGAAGAAGGGTTGGAGGAGGCAGAGCGAGGGGTGCCTCGGGCCATCACGGTGAGCGTGGGGGTCGGATGTAAAGTCCCCCTTTAAGGAGCTCGCTAGGGCCGCACCTCAGCACCCCAGTGCCTGCTCCATGTCCTCCTGTTTGGGGCCCTCGCCTGTCCCTCCAACAGCATTAGTTTACATGTCTTTGCGGGCTCGGCAGTGAGCCCCGTGCTTGCTGCACAGAAACTGCTCTTTAAAGAACCACTGACTGAAGAGAACGGTGTGTATGGCGGGGTGCGGAGAGCTGGGGGGACCTGCCAGAGAGCCAGCTTGACTGTGTGAGGGCAGCTGCGTGCCGAGCCTAAATACTCAAGCGGGTGAGAGGTGTGGGTCCCTCACTGAGCGCGACATCGCAAGGGTCTCCTCTGGACCTCACTGTGGGGCTGTCAGCGTGAAGCCAACCCCTGTCCCCTGTCCTACAGAGCACCTGGCTGGAGTTCAAGAGCAAGGCTTTCTCCAGGAGTGAGCCTGGATCGTCCTGGGAGTGAGTGGTGGGCTCTGAGGATGGGGGGAGTCATTTGGACAGAGGGGCAGGTTCCTCCAGGCCAAGAGGGAGAGGGTGCTCAGGAAGGCGCTCCGGAGGGCGAGGGGCTTCCCAGAGAGCGGAGTCCGGCCCGCAGACGCCGGAGGGAGGCTGGGAGGCAGAGGGGCTGCAGGTGGAGGAGAGGGCCTTGAGGACTTAACGTGGGACAGAGGGCTCAGGTTCCCGCCCAGCCTCAGCCCTGAAGGGTGCTCTTCCTCTCATTTCTCCATAAAATAAACCGTGGGGGTGGGGCGAGCTTCCACCCAAGTCCCGCGCACTGCACTGGGGGCAAGCCGGGGAGCTGCCTCCGGTGTCTCTGCGGGCAGGGGTGTGCTTCAGCAGCTGTGTCTGTCGCCGGTCAGGGGGTGACCCATGGGATGAAGTGGGTCCTAGGTGTGTGTGTCCCCAGCGCACATGCGGACAGCCCCCTCCAAGGCCCTTCCCGCTGTCGTGCTCTCCTCTCCTGATGCCAGGCTGCTCCAGGCGTGTGGGAAGGTGAAGCGGCAGCTTTGTGCCATCTACCGTCTCAGCTTCCTGACCGCAGCTCCAGGCCGGGGGGGCCCCCATCTGCCGCAGCAGCTGCAGGGCCAGGTGCAGGCCATCATGCAGTAAGTATGGGTGCGGCCGCCGCCAGCCGGAGCGGGAGCTGAGGCACCGCCCCCCACCCGCCTCCCCCTGTTGCCCCGACAGAGAGAAGCTGATGGACTGGAAGGACTTCTTGTTGGTGAAGAGTAGGAGGAACGTCACCATGGTGTCATATCCTCATGCCCGAGTCCCTCGTGTCTGTATGTCCCCCACACCTGCCCACTCTGCAGGACTCTGGACTTTTGCGAAGGAGCAGATAGATGTATTCCACCACCTCAGCATCTTTTCTCTGAAGAATAGCAGATATGGTCATGGGTGTCTTGTCTGTAGGAATGCTCCAGGACTGAAATTTCACAAATCCCAGCTGTCCCTCAGTGACTTCATAAAAGTTTTGGGGATTATGTTGACCAGTGTCCAGCCAGCAAAGTGGTAACAGCTATTCCAGGCAGGGCAGGGGTCCTGGGGTCAGGTAGGTTAGAGAGGCTGTGTCCTCCTTAGATGTCACAGTACACCGTGGAACGTGAAGGCTCTGAGAAGGCCTGCACCAAAAATGTTTATCCCTCTTTAAAAAACCCTATCCAAGACCTGTTTGACCCTTTTATTATGGAATACTAGTTTTATCGAAGACTGATTTCCTCTGGAACTTTATATAAAGCAGCTTTTCCTGTATTAAGGTCTCAGTATGCAGGTGAAAGGGATGACAGAGGCCCCCTTTAGCCACCAGCCACCACCCTGCCATGTTGGCTGTTCCCTTCCAGTGGGAACCTTCCAGCTTCAGAAGGTGAAGTGTGGAGAGGGAAACAAAACCACGCCGAGGTGTGTGGGTTGGGCGGTCAGCTAGGCTCATTCGTGGGTAGGTAGCTCAGCTCTCACACCAGCCTCACCATGTATGTGATTTAAACTCTTCCCTCGTGAAAATGATGAAAAAAGAACATTCGCTATTCCTGTTGGGTCTAGAACTCCCCAGGTTAGATGTGCCAGTGTCCAGGGATCCGTTGTACTTGCATAGGAGAATTTCACCTGGTTGGGGGTTCAGAGGTAAAGAGGCCTGGGAAAACAGGGACCCTAGGAGGTTGGCTGACATGGCAGCTGTGGGGAGAGGTGGGCATGGCAGGCCTGGCCTCCGGACTCCACTGCTTAGCCTTGCCGGAAGCCTAGGTGGAGGACAGAGTAGCACTCTCCCTGGTCCCTGGCTTTGTGAGCACCTTAACTCCGACCTTCACCTACCTAGAAGACTTCCCGGGCTTGGTGCATTTCATCTATGTGGACCGCACGACCGGCCAGATGGTGGCCCCTTCCCTCAGCAGCAGTAAAAGGATTTCGTCGGAGCTGGGCAGGGGGCCACTGGCCACCTTCATCAGAACCAAGGTAACCATTGCTCGGGTCCGGGTCCTCTTCACCCCCGTCAGATGAGACGTGCTGGCCTGACCCCTGTCCAGGAAAGACTGATGCCCCCCACCCTTGGGGCTCCCCTGAGGCCTTGAGCACACCCCGTCTTAACCCTACTGTACTCTTCTGTCAGTGTCTGCACGCAGCTGGTCTGCAGGCTCCTAAGGATAGCAGCTGGGCCTCGTCACTCTAGGGTCCTGGCATCCGGGGCCACATGGGCCTCAGTCGATGTCAGGGGCACCTTCCTGGGTGTCTTCTAATGTGCCTGAAGGAGCAAGTCTGGGCAGTGAGGTCAGAGGGGGAAACGGCCAGGGCCTGACATTGTGCTTGGCATAAATAAATCCCAATAAGTATTTGTTGAATGAACTCAAATGGAAAGAAGAAACACAAGGTTATCCAGTTTGGATACAGGATTTAACACTAGGTGGTTTGTACTAAAGAAACATTCACTGGGGGTTCTTATATTCTCTTTAATAGACTGTTTCATGGCAAACTAGTATGTGTATATTTATATACTATACACGTGGTAGGTAGTCTAGTATAAACGTCTGTTAGATTCATCTAAAGTACACGCTAATAGTTAAAATCAAGAGGGTGACAAAAGGCGGGGTGGGCTCTGCCTTTCCCTGGCCGTGTGGCCCCAGGGCATTACTTAGTCAGAGTGTCTGTGTGCTCATCTGTGAAAGAAGCTGGTGCTACTATTGATGTACACGGGGGGCAACAATTACAGACACGTGAGATGCTGCAGGTTAAGTACTCAACACGGTACGTGGCTCAGAAGATCGACAGAATTCATGGAGCCCTTGCTGGTACCAGCCTCTCCAGCCATCTTTCCGGAGATTGTCAGGGGTTCTCTGGCTGCATTTCTTTGCATTGTTTTTCTGTGCAGTTTTTTGCCATTGGTCATAATCTTGGATCATTCCGTAGATGCAATTGTGTTTACCCACGTTTTCGCTTTCTATCTGATGCATTTCCTCATGTCATTAATTCTTTATGAACATGATTTTTAACAAGTCCACAATAGTCCATCATGTGGATGTAACATAATTTCCTTAGCCATTTCCCCAATGTTGAACAGTTAGATTGTTTCCAGGCTTTCGCGGTCATAAATAATTCTGCAGCACACACCTTTGCGCATCCATCTTTGTCCTCATCTCTGATTATTTTCTCAATATGGATTCCCAGAAATGGAATTACTAAGTCAAATGGGAGGAATGTTTTTAAGGTTATTGATACACGTTGTCAAATTGCTTTCCTGAAAATACAGCAAATCCACGTATTTGCTTGCAGATGTAATTAGACATTACGCTGTAGTCAGGTTTGCCGTGAATCATGTAAGCCTTCCTCTAAGCTCATCAGGCCTTTTCCAGCCCTGGAGAATGGAGGAGTCAGGCTGCCCCTGCTCTCCTCCCTCGGGCAGGTCACAGGCAGCATGGAAGCCCTTGGATTAGGCAAGAGAATGTCCCCGAGGGGATCCAAGGCACATTGTCCCCCTGTCCCTGTGTTTCTGTTGGACCTCTTGGTGAGCCCTGGTTGGGACTTCAGCCCTGGAGAGAGCGCATGCCTGGCTCAGGGTCCTCTGTGCTCACACGCCCCACAGCACCTTCCTGGCATAGAGCCTACGCCCCTGGCGGGGACCGGTGGACGGGTGGCCCTGGACAGCAGGTCGGGTTTCCAGGTGGCCACACCCTTGTCTCCTGTTGTGTTACCTAACAACGTCCTTGTCTGTTTTCTGGGCTGAATGATCAGTTTACTAATTTATGGCCTCTGTGCATAGTCAAGTTACGTGAAGGGTTTTTACATGTATTTTATTGTCACAGTAACAGGAGGGGTAGTCCACCCACCCACCCACCCGATAATGATTTCCTTTTGAGCTCCTGCTCTGACCCAGGCCATGCCCGGCACTCAGGAAACAGGTGAGCTGGAGCAGCCGCTGGCCTTCCGGGAGCTCCTCCTCTGAGTGCTTTTCTTCCAGAGCCAGGAGCCTGAGCCTTGGGCCCCCTGTGGGGAGAGGGCCGACGCCGCGGGCCCTGGGGAGGCCGTCGGGGCCGCCACGAGCACGCTCTCCGCCTGTCCCCAGGTCTGGTGTCTGATCCAGCTGGCGCGCAGATACTTGCAGAAGGGCTACAGCACGCTGCTGTTCCGGGAGGGCGACTTCTGCTTCTCCTACTTCCTGTGGTTCGAGAACGAGATGGTGGGTGCGGCCAGGTCCCGGGGCAGGACCGTCCCGAAATGCTTTCCTCTCTGCTCACTCCGGGACCCCTTTCTTCTGCACTGCGTTCAGTCTGTCTGTCTCTCATCTCTTCTCGTCCCTAGTGGAGCTGACAGGGAGGCACAGCTGTGGGCACCCAGACCTCGGGGGTCCCGTGTTCAGGGGCGCTTTGTGACCCCTCCAGCAGCTGTCTGAACGACTCGTGCTGTCACTCAAGGCGGTGTCCAGGTCGCACGCGAACACATGGACGCATGCCCCTCGAGAACGGCTGCTCACACTTGCTTCCGCGTCGCCAGCTGCGCTTACAGAGCACGGCACGCTGTCGTTCCCATTGTAGAGGCTGATAAACCGAGGTTCAGAGCCGTGTAGCAACCTGTGCAAGGTGAAGAGGACAGTATGGCCTCCTGGCCCGGTACTTCTCGCTCTAGACCTCACTGTTACTCCAGTGTAAGCACAGGTCATGGGAGCTCACTGCCTGTTTCTCTCTCTCTCTTCTTTCTTTCCTGTTTCTCTTTGTTTTCTCCTCACTTGTCACTTTGAGTCCGTGTTCCAGCTCTCTGTCCATTTCTTCTGCCCCTCACGCCCCCTCCACCCCCACCGGGCCCTGCCCTCTCCCTGGCAGCAGCCCTCCTTCGCTCTGCCCTGAGAGTGATGGCCAGCACCTTCCAGAGTACAGGCTTCTTCCTGGGTCTCAACCTCCCGTCCTCCCAGCCTGTGCCATGGTTGGGGCAGGGATCATTGGCCCCATTTTACAGATAGAGACACTGATGCCTGGAGATCAAACTCCGTGCCCAGGGCCACCAAGGTCATAAATGAAGAAGCCAGAACCCAGGCTCGGCTCTCCTGGCCGACAGGCTCCCGTCGGCGCTCTGAGCCCAGGATGTGTGTATGACCTTTACCTTAGCTTCTAGGGAGAGGCAGGGCTTTGTGTGTGTGGCTGTCCCGACGGAGTGACAGACTGCAGTAGGGCTGTGGGGGGCAGAGCCAGCTGTGGAGGCTGCCTGTCCTGTGCCGTCTTGGGCAGCCGCCTAGCACGCTGAGTGTACCTCCTTGCCCGCAGGACGGGCCCACGGTGCCCACATGAGCATGGAGACAAGCCCCATGACCGTGCCCGACGCACAGTGGCTGCCCAGAGCATCTTAATTCCCTCTCCTCCTTTTCCTTTTTTTTTTTTTTAAGATTTTATTTGAGAGAGAGTAGAGCGATCGAGAGAGAGAGAGTGTGAATGGGGGGGGGCAGAGGGAGAAGCAGACTCCCCGCCGAGCAGGGAGCCCGATGCGGGACTCGATCCCAGGACCCCGGGATCATGACCTGAGCCGAAGGCAGACGCTTAA